CTTTGATGGAGGAGCACCACGGGAGACAAAAAGGAAAACAGGAACCGGGAGTGAGCCCAATGGGGGGGGGGAAGGAAAGAAGGGCCCCGAAGGCCGCCCAGACTCACCGGCCTAGCGGACCCGAACCCGGCTCGAGGCGCTTCCCGGCTTCTCAATCCCGAACACCGACACCCCCCTCACCCGGGAACCGACCGCACAGAGCCGCCGAAAAAGAGGGCGGACCGCCAACGTCACTGCCACGTACTCCCTCCAGGGGGCTACGTCACGCGCACGACGTCGAGACGGCGCCGGCCACGCCCCCCTCCCTTCGTCCGGCCGGCGTCTCGCGCCCTCGCCGTTGGAGGAGGCGGGGCTTAGGAGCGACCGAGGAAACCAGGAGGCCTTCCTGAGCGGAAGGGGTGGGGCTGGTCTTTAAAAAAACAACAACACGGCCTTGTTTCTAGGCAACGGACGCCGCCCGGGCCTAAGCTCCTGAATCCCAGGCTGGCTTGTTGTTGTTTAGGTGTTAAGTCATGTCCGACTCTTCGTGACCCTCAGGGACCAGAGCACACCAGGCCCTCCTGTCTTCCACTGCCTCCCGGAGTTGGGTCAAATTCATGTTGGTCACTTCGATGACACTGTCCAACCATCTTGTCCTCTGTCGTCCCCTTCTCCTCTTGCCTTCACACTTTCCCAGCATCAGGGTCTTTTCCAGGGAGTCTTCTCTTCTCATGAGATGGCCAAAGGATTGGAGCCTCAGCTTCAGGATCTTTCCTTTCCAGTGAGCACTCAGGGTTGATTTCCTTCAGAATGGATAGGTTTGTTCTCCTTGCAGTCCAGGGGACTCCCAAGAGCCTCCTCCAACACCACAATTCAAAGGCATCAATTCTTCGGTGGTCAGCCTTCTTTATGGATCAGCTCTCACTTCCATACATCACTACAGGAAAAACCATAGCTTTGACTATTTGGACTTTTGTTGGCAAGGTGATGTCTCTGCTTTTTAAGATGCTGTCGAGGTTTGTCATCGCTTTCCTCCCAAGAAGCAGGCGTCTTTTAATTTCGTGGCTGCTGTCACCATCTGCAGAGGTCATGGAGCTCAAGAAAGTAAAATCTGTCACTGACTCCCTATCTTCCCCTTCTATTTGCCAGGAGGTGACAGGACCACTGGCCATGATCTTAGCTTTTTTGATGTTGAGCTATGGCAGGTTGGCTTATGTGGAAGGAAACTCTCCCCCCCCCCCAACCTTAGTTGATCTTTACTAGGTTGGGTTTTCGAGGAGGTTGCAGTCTTAGTCCGTGCAAGTATATGAGGCAAAGACAGCATGAAAACAAAGCAAGTGAACAAACCAACCAATAAAAATAAAGATAACAAATAGAAATTCAACATAGCAACAATGTAGGATTTGAATAGTTGTTTCCCTGAACCAGTTTTAAAACAAGGATGTGACAAACAGAGAGGAATTCAACTGGTGAAGTTTCTCTGATTCTTGTACTTCACCTGCTAAATTTTTATCTGCCACATATGAGCTCTGCCAGGAAGGGAAAATAAGAAAGAGGAGGGGGAGATAAATTATATGCTCTGATCTTTAATCTCTTCTTGTTTCACACTCTTCCATGTCTGTGACATGCATTTTTCTCAATGCACCACCAAAAATCAGCCTTGATAGCCAAGGACTGCCATGTTTCCTTTTCTTACTGCTTTCGACTGGTGTGTTTTGCCCAAAGCATGAGATAGAGCTGAGATACACCAAGGCTGACCAAGAAGATATATCTGCATACGCTTATTTCAGAGATAAACCCGTATCTGTCTGTAAGCAAAAGTATTGTGGTATCTCTAAGACTTAACAATTTTCCTTCATTCAGTGTGAGCTTTCATAGATTACAATCCACTTCTCATGTTTGAAGAAATGGATTGTAATCCACAAAAGCTTACATTGGATTTAGTTTGTTTAGTCCTAAAGGTGCCAGAACCCTTTTGTTGTTGTTGTTGATAATTATGATTTGTACTCAGGCATCCACATCCACTCTTGAGAGCCCCCTAGACTGCAAAGAGAACAAACCTATCCATTTTGAAGGAAATCAACCCTGAGTGCTCACTGGAAGGACAGATCCTGAAGCTGAGACTCCAATACTTAGGCCATCTCATGAGAAGAGAAGACTCTCTGGAAAAGCCCCTGATGTTGGGAAAGTGTGAAGGCAAGAGGAGAAGGGGACGACAGAGGACGAGACGGCTGGGCAGGGTCATCAAAGCGACCAACATGACTTTGACCCAACTCCGGGAGGCAGTGGAAGACAGGAGGGCCTGGCGTGCTCTGGTCCATGGGGGTCACGAAGAGTCAGACACGACTTAAAAACTAAACAACAACAAATCCACATCCAAAGGAGTGGACCACAGATTCGTGTGCAAATTTGACAAGTCTCTTCATTGTTTCTGCAGGCACAGACTAGCACAGCTACCAACCCTAGAAATGACAGATCTGATTCACAACCAGTCTTAGATTTCAGAAGTGGAGATTAGCCAGTGCTGTATCTAAAATGCACTGCTCGGTTTAGTCTGTTACCTGCAGTATCTTACAGTCGCTGCTTCGTTCTATCTACAAATCTCAATTTTGAAACTGGTTCTGCAATGCAGACCTTTTGGCCACAACATTGGGCTCAATTATTTTAACATGTTTATTCCTTCCACCACCTTTCTCCTACTATTCATACAGGTTGCTGTTGTGAGCCATTAAACTGGTTCTGCAATGCAGACCTTTTGACCACAACATTGGGCTCATTTATTTTAACGTGTTTATTTCTTCCACCACCTTTATTCATACAGGTTGCTGTTGTGAGCCATTGAGTCAGAGCTGGCTTCTAGCAATTCTAGTAGGGATTTCAATATGAGATCTTTAAGGAGTGGGTTTACCATTTCATTCCCCCCCCACAGCCCAGTAAGCTTCCATAACTGAATGGGGATTCAAACATAGACCTACCGAGTCCTAGTCCATCACTCTTTCCACTACACCTCACTGGGTATCACTCATCTGGATTCTCTTTCTATGGTTCAACATTCATATGAGGAGGATACCTCTAGTAAGGCAACAATAACAAGAGCAACAAGAAAGGGGGGACAAATTAAGAAGAAAAAGCACAAGATTTTCATCATCATAGAACTGCAGAGTGGCAAGGGACCCTATGGATCACCAAGTCTTCCTGGTGAAAGCAAAGGGGGAAAATATAGGAAAAAAACACAACAGATTTGCATTTAAACTTCCTCTGCCCTCATCATTGTGTTTTTTTTAGTAATATATTGTTATGATTTTAAACTGCATTTGTTATATGATATGTTGTTATCCGCCCAGAGTAGTCTGTATGACTAGATGGGCGGGCTATAAATGTAATAAAATTAAATTAAAATTAAATCCTTCCCCAGCTGTAATGAAGGAAATATATATATAATTTTATACTTACCTGTAGTTTTTCTAGAGATCCTGAATGCATTCACCCTATTTTGCATTTCTCCCCACACACAGCTTGGGGGGGGGGGAATTTGCCTGATACATTACTGTACTATGGAGTTTAAGTTTAGATTTTTAATTATCAACACAACTGCCTCTGCATTCTCTCTATAGCTGGCCAACCATTGCTCTTTCCCACCAGGCATATACTGTACTATTTCAGATGGCAGAGAATGTCACAGAAAGCATGTGCAATAGTTAATGTTTATTCCCCTTAGCTGTGGGACTATCTGTATTTTGGAAAAACGCTGCCATATCCCACTTTGTCTTTTCTGTCCAGTTTTCCTTTCTTCTCGTAGAGTTTTTTCCCCATGGCTTAAGCATCGGAGGGCTCTCCTTGGGAGGCATCAGCAGGATTTTGGCTGGGGCCAGCTGTTTCTACTTCAGGAATCTTGTCGCTCCTATTAGACTCACGGCGGCTGCTGAAGGCAGAATAACGCCTCCAAATCACGGTGATCTTTGTGTTGTTGGACCGCTGCTTGGAATTCTCTGCCTCTGTCACTGTTTCCTTCTTCTTTCCAGCATCCCGCCTGTTCTTTAAGCTTAATTTTTTCTTTCTTTTCCCTGCAAACGATAATTATACCATAAGGGTGTTGGAAAAGAGCCAAAAGGCCTTTTTCACCAGCATCTTGCACATCTGAACAAAGCCAGTAGCCCCTTCTCTTCAGATTGGCATCGCCGTCACTGATGTTACTAGGTGGTTGCATCTGTTGGTGTAACTAAGACTGGAGAAGGCTGATAACAGCAGTGGCAACGATTGTGCAACACTTAATACCAGTGGTGCCTCGCATAGCGATCGCTCCGTATAGCCATGAAATTGCTTTGTGATGGACTTTTTGCCATTGCAAGAACGATTGCTTTGCGATGGCCCCTATGGGGAAATTTCGCTTTGCAATGATCGCAGGGAAGTGATCATCGCAAAGCCCCCATTTTCGGCCAGCTGATTGACGGTTTCAAAATGGCAGCCGGGTAAACAAAATGGCCGCCCGCTGTTTTGCCTCGCTTTAGAGGCACCGAAAATGGCCGCCGCAATGGAGGATTTTCGCATGCTAGTTTTTAAGCCCATAGGAACGCATTAAACGCATTTTAATGCGTTTCTATGGACTTTTAAAAATCGCTTAGCAGCGATTTTTGCTGCACGGATTAACAACGCTAAGCGAGGCACCACTTACTTGTTACTTTTGCCCCATGGCTCTCATGTAATCCTTTTCTTTGCGTGGGAACTGAAGTATGGGAGAAGTAAGTCTTTAATTATTTAATAACATTACTGCTGGCAGTGATTTTTTGTAACTAGAGACTGCCTTCTCCTATTGTACAGCTTCCACACAATACAAGGGATTAAACAAAAAACCCTGGGAGCTACAGGACAGAATTAGGAAGTGCTCAATTTCTGAAACTTACCCCTGCTGCTGATACCATCAATAGTTACACCAACAGGTTTCAACCAACATTGCTGGTTCAAAATGCAGCATACAGACTGCTGATCAGGGCTGGTCACAACGATCACATAACCCCCCTGTTACAGCAGCGTTGTCTACGTTGGCTCATTACTGAAACAGCGACTTCTACGTTGGCTTGGGCATGTTGTAAGAATGGCTGACAGTCAGATTCCAAAAGATCTCCTGTATGGAGAATGAGTGCAGGGAAATCGTCCCAGAGGGAGACCACAGCTGCGATACAAGGAGATCTGCAAGCGGGATCTGAAGGCCTTAGGAATGAACCTCAACAGATGGGAAACCTTGACATCCGAGCGTTCAGCCTGGAGGCAGGCGTTGCATCCCGGCCTCTCCCGATTTGAA